TCCTGTAGTTAATTACGTGAGGAAAATTAGTTATGATTTTCCTCCAGTCGTTCAAGTGGAGGCTAACGGAAGACGTGGCGGCGGCGGCGCCAGTTAACTTAGTATCCTAACTGACTAAGTCTAGGTATATTTATTTACAGCACTCTACTTATCTATACGCTTACAAACTACACGTTTACATAACGCAGTATGTACATACCTACAACAACTTTGTCTAGCTAGTAGAGTCGCGACTAATTCGCGTTTGTTTTTCACATCTGTCGGAACACGTTACTGTGAAATGAATAGGTCAGATGTTGCCGATGTGATGCAACGAGTACATTGTTCATGTCACGAATTACAAATACAGAAATTAATATTAATACCTGAACTTTACTTATCAATTGCAATGTATGTCCATTAAATTAAATAAATCCGTTATTATTAAAAATGTATAGGTGAAATTGTTAAAGTATCATTAGCTATTTCTAAAGTTTTGAAAGTTATGGGATGGTGAAATTACATTCACATGGGACTTTTCAACATTACGTCTCAGGGTGACGGGTGCAGTGGCAATTCAGATCTTCATTTTTTATAATATCAGAGCTTTAAATCGCAAAGATATGAGAGGCACTGCCTCTGCGCCTGTCACCTCGAGACATAAGTTGACAAGTCCCAAGTGTCTGTAATTTCACTAGGATCGTTACCCTTCATAACCGGAACGCAGTGCTCTTTCACAAGGAGCTCTACTGCTTTGCGAATTAAAGTGGAAGTGCAACTGTTGTATAACGAACGATAGGAACTGTATAACGAACAGACGGGCCCGAGGGGCTTGATGGGACGTGGTCATCGTCGACCATGGACATTTGCAAGACCAGAGGATATGCATATGCATTGTCAGCTTTTGAGAACCCTCTTTACGTGCTTTTTAAAGAATCCCATATCATAACACAAAGAAAACACTTTAGGCTGACAGTTGAAAGATGATGTCCATTGTAGGACATAAGTCCACCTCAATGCGGTCATTGGAGAAGACGTGGCGGTACACAACGACATGTCTTCCACTGCACGCATCCAGCGGGTTCTCGCAACCTTATTCACTTAATTCTTTGTTATTGATTAATAAGAGATTGATTTTTTAGATTGACTAATTTGTAATAGAATATAGTAGCAAAAAAATCCAAAAGGATGATAGAAAAAAACCCGAACAATCGTTTCAAAGTAAATCGGACAAAGTATTTATTCGCGAATTAATTGATTTTGATAATAAAGGAGACAACACACTTTTCGAGCGCAGAAGCGGCAAGAGCCGGCCAGAAATTTTTTTATCTCCTTGCAGTAACAATGAAAAAGACGTTGCGCATTTTGGTTCTGCTCGGACCGCCAACGCGAAACACACAACCTCTGCTTCACTATTATTTTTTTATTTGTTTTAGCTGACCGGTTGAAAGGCTTATCCGCACGTATCAATGCGGACACGTGACTATCAGTGTTCTATGTCGTGACGTGATATTCGCACTCCTCAATGCTGACGCCGACGTGTGCCGTGAGTGCTAGTTAAAAACGATTGTGGTGTCGCAGACAAAACTAGAAATTCGCGTCAGAACACAGCGGCCGATGGAACTATACTGACCTTACTAACACTGGCAAGCATTGTACAAAATATACATACACGGCTCTAATCGTCACGTGTCGGCAATGACAAGTGTCGGTAGACCTTAATGCAATTATGTGTCGATAAGAGTAATGACTTTTTATGTATGTAGTTACTACATGAATATACACTTGTATATTCGTTGCATCACTAGTTGTTCTTAAAACTTTCAAACTGTTGTTGGTTACTGATCGTATATACAGATGTATTGGTGACACAACGCAAACATCCATCGACCTTTGTAATGAACAGAAACCGGAATAACCAGACTATGTTTATCTAAACTTTAACTAATATACACAGAGCGCATAATACCTCCGTTTGAAATCGCAGAATTATTGCATTGTATTTTGTTCTATATTTTTGATGTGTATTATGCCACTAGTGTATTTTGAAGATAATAATAATGATGTGTTAGATATCTACACCAATTTCCTGGTCTCAAACTGTGGAATCACCTGTATTACAAGTACCAGAGCAGCGAAATTCACTATGAGGCACTTCTCAGAACACCCAGGTCAGAACTAATTTAGAAAAGTTCATTTCCTAAATTGATCTTACCGCGAATCGAACCGGGGACCACGGGGCAAACCGTTGGGCCATTCAGACTATTTTATTTTGACTTTTTGCCTTTTATTTACATTTTTTTTATTATATCAAGTGACACACGGTTACACGCCTGTCTATAACAGTTGCAATGCCACTCAGAGTTTTAATTCGCAAAGATCTGAGGGGCACTGCCACTGCGTCCGTCACCCTGATACATAAGTTGACAAGTCCCACGTGCCTGTAATTTCACCAGCGCCCTTGCCCTTCAAAACCGGAACGCAGTAATGGTGACATTACTGCTTGGTCGCAGAAATAGGTAAGGTGGCAGTAGGTACTTCCCTGGACGACCTCTTTCCCAAGGAGCTCGACTGCTTCAAAGGGAGGTATTATCAATTCTATGTGTATTACTTGAAATTTAGATAAATATACTGTACCTATTTCGGTGTCTAGTAATGATATACAAAGCTGAGCAATTCTTGTAAAATACATACAATTTTTAACAGAATAATGTAACTTTATTTATTTTAAAGACATTCCTCGCGCAAACACTCCAAACAAATTGAGCATATCTTTAACAACACTGTATCAATGTCATTTGTAAACAGTTTATTTGCAACAAAACTATTAAGTTGGTAAAGAGTAAACGGTTAAACAACAGTCTCTGTTACTTTGTTTAATATGAATGATGTTTTGAAAAAACCTGCGCGCAGCGTAACACCGCCTGTCGGCAGCCTTGCACCTGCTTTTGTGTATTTTTAATTCTCCAGATTGCAATATTTCTTCCCACTTACTATTCAACTGTGATGTCGACATTTCGTCCTTTTATAGAACTTAATATAGTTCAGTTCAATCAATTTTAAACAAAAACTAAACAAACAAGTCACTGACCCGACCATAGACGATTTAGTGATGGCCAATTTTACTGCCAACTACAAATCAATCAATTAATTGAATGAATCGTTTTGTTTAATCGAATTTAAACGAGCGGTTTTCATTGCATAACCTATAAGAGCATATTGAAAATTTCCGAAATTTTAATTTTAAATCTTCGTTCATATCCTTACACTTAGTACTCGTTCGATTGCGTTTAAAAATTTTCGATTTACTAATCGGTTACAGAAACTTTAATCGAATGAAATGAATGGTTTTTCCGTACAGCGCTATGCAACCACAGACTATTCACATATCTTTAATTAAAAAATACCTCACTTTTTGACTACCATTTTTCAAATACGATTTTACGTTTTATTCTAATGAACATTGTTGGAAAAAATGCTGAGGTACCAAGTCAAAATCTTCGAAATATACGTGAATTTGATTTATTGAGTGATTACTTTAGAAATTCAACCAAACAGTTTTGTTTACATTTCGTTTAAAATGGACTGGAACAGACTATATATATATACTTAGAATAATAACGCATAGAAACCTAGTCCGCACATGCTAAGTGAGGCAAATTGAAGCGCTCCCAAAGGGCCTACACGAGCGGGCGGGCCTTCAGTGCTCAAGGTCAACTTTCACCGCTAACAAAAAATGACGAAATGTGCGGTAAATGAGTGTCAAAATACGTCGGACAAACATAAAATAGATACTACCATCACATTCCACAAGGAAGAAACGCGTTTCAACTTGTATTTTTATATAAATATTCACGAAAACCGAAAATTAACCTACTACTAAAACTAGCCTACATGAATTTGATTTTTGCCTCACTTGTGACAGTTCGTTTGATATGAAACTATCATTCTATGCGTTATTATTCTAAGTATATATATAAGTAAAGTAACATAATAAATATAAAATGGTAGTAATCGAGACTAAACCCGTTGCTGGAAGATCTTAAGTTAAACAGCTTGTAATTAATAGTTTACGTAAAAATCGTGTGTAACGGTTGATTTCCAATTTAACTACGTTTGTTGCTGACCTCTAAACTTTATTCGAATATCACTATTTTCTAAAACATAAAACTGTTAACGACATTATTGTTATCAACCGGTAATTAATGTAGTTTTGACGATAATTTTGTAAATACTAAGATGGAGAGGGAAAACTAAAGCCCCGGTCTGGCGAGGTCGCTCGTTCGATCTTTTTTGTATCAATAAACGGGTTATAGTTAAAGAAATATTATTTGCACCGATGAATGTTATCTCTTAGAACGAGTCATCCTTTCTGTTACAATAGGGTAATAAAACCATTAACACTTCTTTTAATTATAGCGTACACTGATTTAACGATCTTAATCCGTCGTACCGGTCATGAGTTGCTTTTTCTGAATTCTAGTTTTCAATTATCTCTTTAATAATAAGGTCGTTTTTTAAACAGCAGGTAAGTACGTTGTAAAATATCGACTGCCGGCTGTTTTCTTACTAATTCAATAAGTTGTTTACGCAAGATTGTCAAATTTAGAATTAAGTGCCAATGCGTAATAGTACATTGTGTATTAACAGAACGGTATATAAGAAATTGCGAACGAGGGTCTATTAGAAGCCCGAACCCAAAGGCTGAGGGTTTTAATAATTCGAGTATTGATTTTTTTACCATCCGCCATCCGTGATTCATACAATGTTTTTAATCACATTTGCGAGGAAATAATTACAACATAAATATGGTTCACAACACAACAATTAGGTATGGATTTTGCAAGTGGTGGGTTTTTCGTTTTTTTCTAAATTCTTCGCATACATCCATGATCGTATGTAAAACAAATTTGCTAAACTTTTCTTCAGAAATAAATAAATTAATAAAAAAAAATCTTAATAATAAGTATTTAAGAAGTATGCGGCTGAATTGCAATAAAATTTCTGTTTAAATAAAATTTTAAGCGAATGTCTCAGTTTTTTTAAGTAACCCCCTTGCTTGATCAAGTTCAACCTGACCTATGTAAGGAAATATGTCGTGCTACAAATACTCTTTACCGACCACGGCTATAATGAAAAGAAAAAGACCCGAGGGTTTTATTTGGAGCATTATAGTCAAGATAGCCACCATGCAATCTTACTATTTACGAGCAAATGTGATGAAAAAGTATAACTACTTGTTTGCACTATGCAGATAACACGTGCGTTACTGAAATTGTCCACTCTTCTGTCCTATTGTAATCTAAAAATGAAGCAGTAAGACGAATTGGTGCAAACAATATTTCGCCAACTATAACTGCCGAACACTTCTGTTTTTTCTGCGCAATTTATACATGGGCGAGAGTGGATTGAGTGATGACAATATAACAATTTTTAAGTGTACTATATATTGCTATATATCAGCACTACGCACTTGACGGATCCCGCGAGAATCTGTACCTCATGCGTCATCAAATATCGGTAATTTCTTGATAATGTGCAAGAGTGAAGTGGCGAAAGTATGAGACATGCACTTCTCAAAATGTCTGCACAAACGTTCCACACTGCTTACAGTACTTTAGATCACTGCACACTCACAATATAGCGTTGCATTACGTGTAACGCGCACTGCTTGTTCAACATGTTCGTGATCACACGCTTGATGTTCAGTGTCGGTGAGTCGCGAGCAACGCAGGGGACCTTAGGCCGCTGCGGTAACTGCGGCTGACTGCCGCTGGTCTCAGAACCAGTACAGGTCTTTGGACGTGTCCTGGACTTGCGCCTCCAGACCTGCAACAACACGAAACGTTATCATAAAGATTCTACAGCACATCTGGGATATTAACAAATCATATTTTCGTATCGTACTCGTATATCACGTCTTAACATAATAATCTCAGTAGAGAGTACTAAAAAACCGACCTCAAAAGTTCATAGAATTACATCTATTTGCCAAGTTTTATTGAAATCGGCTACCTGAAAGTGCGCGACGTCGGATTTATCGCCTAGTTTACTACCCTTTTGAGGTGGAGTATTTTCTTTAAATATCAATGGGACCATTACCGACATACCCTCTTTCTAACAAAAAATCATCAAAATCGGTTCACAAATGCCGGAGCTATCGCGTAACATAGATACAAAAGAATTATAGACGAATTGAGAACATCCTCCTTTTTTGAAGTTTGTTAAAAAAATGGTCACAAAGGCGGTAAGTAGACAATTACAAAAAGAAGGACGGAGTTTGTTGGCCCGAACATTTGTAATTGCTGTTCCGCCCTTATGGCATATAAGTACAACGTTTCTCAGACACTTGAAAGAAAGTAAAAAATAATATAAAACTTAAAAACTTTATAATTCATTGATATTATATTTAGAAAAAAAATATTGAAAGAATAATAACGAGCGTTAAAACTTTTTGCCTGGACTATAATTCTGTAAATAAAACAATAAACTTTTAAATTTATGTATGTCATGATGTCTATGAGTGTCTATGTCCCTTGTAAAAATAATAAATGAAATAAAACCAGTATTTATATAGATTTTAATATATAAATAAAAAAAGTCCAATGTCGCGGCGCGAATTTAGCTGAAGTCGAGTTGGTAGTTGGTGTGAATCCCGTAGGACATTATACTATGGAAGTAACTAAAGTAAACTAGTCTAGCAGTACTAACATCGGTAAGCTCACATGATCTGCGGACTGCGTATGCAGCGGAGCTTAATTTGCTGGCCAGGGAAGATATATGTGGATTGATAGATGAAGATATATGGAAAAACAATTGAACTATAACAAATCAGTTTTTGATCACCGCTAGTCTCGAGACTCGCTCATGTTTTGTTTCTTTTCAATTTATTAGAGTACAATTCAATCCAAAGTATTGAAATTTTAGTGATTAAAATGAAAATTTGAAAAAATAAGTTTAGTTTTACGTGCTTTCTGAATTTACACCACATACGTTTACTTCTCCTTTGTACCTATTATAATTTTATGAGCTTAACGAAATTATTTTAGTTCTTCGACAAATTAAAATAATCCAATAAAACAAAATTAGTGTTATCGTTGTCAATTTAGTATCAATAATATCAATAATAATAATAATAAATTATACTTAATGTACTTAAGACGAATCGCGTTTCGGAAAGCGTCATTATTTTTTTTTAGTAAAAAAAAAAGTTTATCTTCGGATGCGTTCTGAATTTGCATTTCATCAATTTTTATTCTTGCTGTACTTATAATTTTGTGTGATTATTGAAATTATATTAGTTCTTCGACGAATTAAAATAATGTAATAAACAAAATTAGTTATCGTGGTCAATTTAATATCAACCATAACAAGAACAAAATATACCAACGGATCTAAATTACATAAATAATGTACGACAAATCACATAATTGAATGCCATTATGATTTTTTTTATCGAAGGAAAAAGTTAGGTGCACAACAGTCCATCGTCAGATTCGAATTTCAAAAACCTTCCCACCCTAGCGTCTTAGACTATTTTTTTCCATCCTCTACGGCTAGCGTGCAAAAAGCTCTTTTGCGCGCAGATTTCTAATGAGAAAGAAAGCCTTTCCGAGCTAGTGAGGTGGAATAGTACATTGTATCACAAGGGCGGTAAATAGGCAATCCGAACAAAGGGACATTCAAGCAACGTGGTTTTAATGGCTCGAATGTTTGTGATTGTAGTACCACTATGTGGCATAACACTTGCGAAGCAAAAAGAAAATTAGACTTATTAACTCCAATTTTCATTTTTTTACTTTATAATTTATATTCATATTATATTCCCAAACTTTTAAGTACCAATCTCACAAATAAATCTTATGTAAAGAATGAACAGTTTTTTGAGCGTTAAAACTTTTTACTTTCGCTTTACGAATAAATAAAACCTAAAATCTCTTAAATGTACCTATGTGTGCTATGGTAACTAGTTACTCGTATGAATATCGATGGTTCTAGAATAACGCGGTGTTACAAAAACACCCAAATTAAACTATACTTCTTTTTTTTAAGAATTCGAAAAACTGTAAACAAAAAAACAGTGATCATAAACCTTTCCCTTCGGATAAAAAATTACAGTAAAGGAGAAACATCGTGAAAATTTATAACAAATGATGCGATAATATGTTATTATTTTATAAAACGTTTCCGTTTACTGTTTGGAACCTCTGCTTCTTTAATTTTTTTATAGTCTTTGAAAGAGATTAAGTGTGCAAAGGCAGAAATTTTGCAGTGAATCTTTATTAAATGCTACTAGTAAAAAAAACGTAATAATTAACATGAATATAGTCAATACGTTTAATTTGCTTACAAAATGACTGAATTACTTATATGGCGCGTGATATGATAAAAGACCCATAATTTCCTTCTGTCTAATGCTAAAAAAACCTATACTAGATGTTTAAAAAAAAATTGTAATAAGTAAAAAAAAAATAGCAGTCTAGATTTCAGCCACCATAAAGCAAACAGCAATAAAGTAGAAATAAACTCAGAGTTTTCTCACGTGTACGTTACAAAGCATCGTGTTATTGATCTCTCCAAGTATCGTCTGTGGAGTTTCGAATCTACATCTTCCAAACTCATACAGAAAACCGGTGTCTTAGATAGTAATTTGCAATGCAAGTTAATTGAATTTTTAGTGTAAGTAATTTATTTATACCATTTCTAATTAGTTTTACGACTTGTATGCTTGTTTTTTTGACTTTGTTAACTAAAAAAGTACTCATAACTGTAGAACGCATATTATAATAACAAAAAATATTATAAATTATAATTTAAGTACACAGTTCTTTATAATTTAAACTTACCTACTTCGAGAGTTATTTGGTTTTGAATTGAGCTAGATGGTATTTTTTTAATTAAGTACCTCTAACAAAAAGTGCAACGGTACATTTATATATTTAGATAATTTTAATAGCGTACATACGTAACAATGTTATTTTCAGAATAAGCGAAGACAATTACAATTCAAAGTTGTTACTATTTATGAGAAATACGGTCTACATGACAAAAGGGGTGCGGGAGGGTAATTGACAGGGTGTGATATACTGCGGGCGGGGCGGGGGCGGGCGGCATCGATCCGCGCCGCCCACTGTCCGCCGGCCGCTGCCCTCCCGCCCCGCCGCCCGCCCCGCGCACTGCCCACCGCTCTACAATACCCTATTTGCACAGACACCAGCACGCACAGGAGTAAAATATTCCGTCAATTACTAAACAAATAACCTTCGTAAATCAGCTTCAGTTGCGTTTAATGGCCAATAAATTAGTAGACACTACTTTTAAGGTTAATTAGTAGTAAATCATAAAAGCATAACGTAACATGTACTTAAAAGTATTTTATCGTCAATTATTTCTCTCATACAAAAGGCAGCATATTAAAACATGTTTAATAAGTTATACATACAGGTATATAGCTACTTATATATAGATAAGTTAGTCGAGATTAGATGCTACGTGTAGGTAAAGTAAGGGAGCGACCCCCGCCCGTCGCACACAAATGTAAACACACCATTTCCATTCTTTAAAACTGAGCAACTTTTAACTTTTTTTAAAGTATCATGTGCCGAGACGAACAATTCGTGGTCCTGGTGGTTGCGACACGATTGTCCATCTACCTTTTTCCTTTTTTACCTATTTCTGCTTGGCGACAGAAATAGGTAAGGTCGCAGTATTTTCCTGGACTAACTCTTTCACAAGGAGCTCTACTGTTTCTTCTAAGAAGTCTAATTTTATACTTATGTGGAGTAGCTATACCTCATACCTGTTTTGTGATTTTTATCCATGCATCAACAACGGCTATATCAAAGACCTTATTGAACAAACGTTTGGATACTTACACAAATGTCATATCTTTCTATCTTTAAAAAATGTTGAATGTAGTGTTCAGATACACTTTCGAATTTGAATTCGTTCTATTCTTGAGATATTAACTGTATAGTTCATAATTTCATAATTCGACAAGGAAAATCTTCAATTAAGTAATCTTCCATAAATAGTTAACTGTCACAGCTACAGGAAAACGATCCTAGAAGACTATCCATGAATTTTAAAGACATTTCGATTGGCAGTTACATTTAATAAAAAAAACGGTATAGTCAGCAAGATAAAAGACAAATATCACGAATTTTTTTTTTTTCATACCATTTGATCCCGTTTCCGGAGAGGACGAAAAATCACTATGAGACCAACTGAGGTAAAAGTACCTACTAGAAATGTCAGAAATTGCAAAAAGAAATTAAAAATGACAATGGAAATAGTTTTAAAATTCGTGGACAGTAAACATTTTCCCGTAGCTATGGCGGTTAGCTTAGGTAGCTGCCCTTACTGACCGTCTCAAATTTCCACCCTGTATAAGTATTTTTATATTTTTCTTTAAAAAACTGTCTCCGGCGAAAATGGCTCGGTCATTTGGAGGGTTTATTATTATTTGGAAACTTTGTAGTCCACCTTGATGTTGAGAATTTTATTTGTTATATCCTGTCAACATCCCGCTGCTGGGCGCATGTCTTCTTCAAGGACAGGGTTTTAGGTTATATGCTTGGAAGAGATAGGTGAACCTTCTCCTATGTGGTAGTATACTTATTTAATTTTAAAATAAAGCTATAACAAGAATGCAAATGTATTGTGAAAGTACTCACAGTTTTTGCCTCAAAATTAACTGCTATTAAGAATTATTATGTTCAATTATAAATCGGTTTCCTGTAGAATATATTGTACATATGTGTAGATATAAATTATGTCCAGGAGTAATGGCAGCGAGTCAGGCGTACGCTATCAATCACGGAGAAGGGAACCGACCGGAAGACAAAGGGGAGAATGGCCCCGCAACTCGCGGCACTACTGGGGCGACGCTCGGCGCAAGAATTTAATTTGTTGCCCCGCCCCGCACCCCCGTGCCCCCCACGAAATAATTAATTTTAATCGTCGCCATTAACGAACCGCGCGAGGTCGCTGTCAATCTGTTCGGAAGCTCCTCCTCGTCTGTTGAACACCGAGCGGCTCGCTAGCCGTTGAGTCGCGGATCCCGCCGGAACAGCACCGTGGCGGAGACGGATAGGGAACCACAAAGCGAGAATGCTTTGTTTTGTCACTCGGATGAAACGCTAAATCATCACAATTAAAATGTCTGTGCTCCACGCGAATGGAATTTCTTTGAAAATTAAAATGTTAGGTACCTATATTTTCCGGGAACGAGAAGCGCGCCCGCCACGAAAAATATTTTGTCATTATGCTGCCGTTATTTATTGTGTGCTTTCATCGCGCGCTACACGACCGAATTAACGAAATGCTTTGATATCAATGAACTCGCATTATTCTGACTGGAAGTCTCACAGGAAGAGCTCTCTCTCACTCGCGTTGCTCCAACAGGAAGAATGCTTTCTATTAATAATGTCACCGATATTAAAACCTGAAGTAAGTAAGGTATCACTAACCGGGTACGGGTGGGTAGGAGTAGGGCGCACAGGCGGCGGGGTGAGGCGCGTGCGGCGCGTGGTGCGCGTGCGCCGCGTCCAGCTGCGCGTGCTGCCCCCATTCGACCGGCTTGTACTGCGGCACGCCGCGCGACAGCAGCAGCCCGCCGTAGCCCGCCGCCGCCATGTTGTGGTGTGCCGCCGCCGCCATGTTGTGGTACTCCGCGGCGTGTCGGTGCGCATGTCCGTACCTGGAAGGTAAGCCGTGTCGTTCACCAATGCCTCCTGCTGGCCGAGGGCACAAATCGGTCGTTGAGCTCACCCCCCGTAGTGCTGATGCCAGGGATCGTAGTCGTAGAGGTCGACTGCGCAGGAAGCGAGGCCGGCAGCAGCCGCCGCATTAAAGAACGACGCGGGCAGATTGCGTGATGCCAGCGGCACGCCCTCTGCGCACACATTTCAAAATGCTAATTAAAAATAATAACGAGAATAAGGTGTCTACTAGAAATGGTCACAAATGAATTAATTGTTTCTCAAAATATTTCTCCGTTAGCGTTAATGCACTTTTTCATACGAATGAACCAATTTTGAAAACATTTATGCCACTCCTCCGTGCCAATTTCTGCAACATTTTTCATACTCTTCGACCGCCTCTTCAGGTGATGAAAATCGTTGACCGCGTAACTGGTTCTTAATTTTTGGAAATAAATAAAAGTCACAAGGTGCCAGGTCGGTCAGGCGGGATGGCTCATAAGGTCAACGTTGTTCACCTTCAAAATTCATTTGTCTGTCTGGCCGTGTGAGAACTGGTATTATCGTGATGCAAGATGATACGGCGTTTACGATTATTTTTACGGAGTTGATCAGTAACTTCCAGCAAACAAATGATCGTGTACCAATCACTATTCACGGTACAACTATTCTCTAATGCAACAGTAGCCACGTGTTCAGTTTTATTAAAAAATGAAGTAATCATCCGCTTAGAGGCACTTTGCACGCGCGCCACTTTGGTTGGTTTCGGCTCATCTCGAAGACCCATCCGCTCGATTGCTGCTTTGTTTTGGGATCGTAACTATAAATCCATGTTTCGTCACCTGTTACTATGTCCCACAGTAAATTTGCCGCCCCTTCATTGAATCTGGTTAGCATAGCATTACACCAAGTGACGCGATCCGTTTTTTGAGCCTCAGTCAAATTGTGTGGGATCCACGAGAGCACAGCTTTTTCACACCCAAATGTTTATGTAGTATTGATTGTATTTGACTCATGCCTATGCCTAAAGATGCCCGAATCTCAGGGTATGTCACATGCCTGTTCTGTTTTGATCATACGGCGCACAGCATCGATGTTTTTGTTGTTCACAGCAGTGGACAGGCGACCATCACGAAATCGCCACTGAGATTCACACAACCGCATTTGAATTCTGCAAACCAGCTATAAATAATCGTCTTGTATGGTGCTTCATCGCCAAAAGCAGTTTGAAGCCGAGCAAAGCTCCGCTGAGCTGTTAAATTACACTTGAACAATCAATTTCTACAATGACCCCACAATATAAAAACAAGTGACAGTCAGATGAAACAAATTGTATTCTACAGCCAAAGAGTTCAATTTTTAAATGTTGTAATTACTTTTAAATGTTGTTTATGTAAGTGACCAGTCCCGGAAACTTATAGTGCGCCCTAAGCATTTTTAGTTTTGAAAAAAATTTTTATTTAAAAATATTATATTTTTATTCATTTTATGTAGTCGACCTCTAATAAAACTACGCGGCCGGGCGTTAACCAACGAACCTCCTTTCTGCCTACATTATATATAGTTTTTTTTCTTGATACCAAGTGACGGGACGAACAAGTCCTGCGCCGGGTGGTAAGCGACACGCCTGTCCATAACAATTGCAGTGACACTCAGAGTTATAAATCACAAAGATGTGAAGGGCACTGCCGCGGCGTCCGTCACCCTAAGATATAAGTTGTCAAGTCCCATGTGCCTATAATTTCACCAGCACGAGACGAACAAGTCGTACGCCTGGTGGTAAGTGACACGCCTATTCATAACAGTTGCAGTGCCACTTAGAGCTTTTAATAGCAAAGGTCTTAAGGTCCCCTTCAACCCGGGACATAAGTTGACAAGTCTCACGTGCCTGTAGTTTCACCGAACACCTTACCCTTCCAAATCGGAACGCAGTAATGGCAACATTGGTGGTGGTAATAGGTAAGGTGACAGTACTTCCTTAGACGAACTCTTTCACAAGTGGCTCTACTGCTACTAAATATCATGCTGTTGCCAATTTGTTACAAGCGACACATTCTAGATACAGTATTGTAAAATGAATTTGAGAAATGCAACGGACTCAAACAAACGTTTCAACAGAAGAATTGCGATCTAGACTAGGCCTATCGATCAGTCCGTACGAGCATTCGTCGGCTCGCGTCCGCCCACGCATATTTATTTGATATCTTCTTAAAATACTTTATAAATTACTATATTCAAATTATTTACAGGGCTAGCCATTCATTGTCATCGCGGAATTCATTTACGTATATGTATTAGATAGTCGTCATTATGTTGGGGCGGACTAGCGACGTACAAATGGTAATATCAATCAGTGAGAACTTATAACTTTTTACATATAAAACCGGTGAAGTGGGAGTAGAACTCTCCCTCTAGAAAGTTTCGCACGATATGTAACACGTAAAGTTTCAGGTTAGGTTTTTCGTTTTGAAGAAAACCAGTTTTTTTCTAAAACTTCAACATTTCGAAATTATTTTAAACCATGACCATAATATACATACCTAGATACCTAGAGTAACTTTTCATGGCAATAAACAAGTTTTTGTCGAACTGAAATCTGACATGCAAAGGCAAATGGGGTCAAAATATTTTTGCCGCCATTTTCCAAAATGGCTACCATGATAGCGTTTTTTCGATTCTCGATAGAAAATGTGTGACTATAGTTAGAGTGCAGGAAGACCGGAGGCCGATCATCAGTGGAGGACAAAGCTCGGAATGTTCGAATACGCGTGACAAAATCCGACTATTCGCCGCAAAGGAAGTGAAGGCTTCGGTAATATTATAACAACAATAAATTAAAAACTCTCTTGCAGGCAGAACATCAAACCAAGAAAGAAAGGTTCTGAAAATACCTGTCTGCAGTTGGTAAGTACTACCACTAATGATATAGGCAATTACATACCATCAATTTACGCAGTTATAATCGTTTTTCTGTTCTCAACGCCGTGTAGGATTTCTGTTGACTTATAGATGAAGATAATCTGATCATTGAGCGGTTTTTGCCTGCACGGCGGACAGCGCGCAAAGCTCAGGGTCGCGTTCGCCACAGCGCGGACATTATGCGTTTTTGTCGCGCGGCTCCTTTGGCCCGACTTTTAAGTAATGGCCCACGTTTTTCCGATCTAATCGTCCCGCATCTTTAAGTTCCAAATTTCGATCGCGGTTTGAATGTGCAATATAATGTTGATGCATCAAATGGCCACCGAAACCTGTCTGAGTAACGTAGCGTCTTTCTGCGGTGCCAGTATCGCGTGCATGCGTTCGCGATGTAGTGTACACGCGCCGGAAACCTGTTCGACTGCATTTTCCACTCAGACTGTGTATTAAATACTAAACTGCTCGGTGCACTGCTGTTACGTCTTGCTCGCATTGTGGTAATTAAGGGCCCCGGCAACGAGCGCGCAGCGGCGGCAAATGAAGTGCACGGCAATTGACCAAAGGGACGACCGAGGTGGAACAGAGCAGAGCTGAAAGGTTATTCAGTGGAGGGGCAGCGGCGGGGCGCGGGACAGGGCGGGAAGACCGTAATTAAATCGAGAGTTTAATTAAGGCGGCCGCGGTCTTAAGAATAATATCCGCCCCTACCAAGCTATACGCCTGTATCTATATCAACCTAACTACATCCCATTGTCGGGCGGGATTATACTGTGAACGGATATTTAGGCCATAATCGTGGACAATACAGGTTGGTAACTTGAAGTTACGAAGCATTCCGGCAGGTTGAAATGGTAATTAGTAATCTCACATCATTTGAAAAGACCCTGTTTTAGGCCCCAGCTAGGTATGAAACGCAAGCGTCATACGTGGGCGTTTCCCCAACGTGCAAACAAATCGTTACTCCATAGAAACTTAACTAGATTAACACATTCGTAAATAGACGAGAGTCTGTAAAGCATATGTAAATATTCAGCCTTTTTCACTTGATAGCAAATAAAAGATGTAATGAGAGTGTCTTCTGCAACAAACTGGCTGGTTGTGCGAGGCGGTGCTCCGACCGGATTCCTGCGAGTTTTTTTGCCGACGGCGCGGGCGCGGCGCGGCACATCGCTCCCGCATCTTTCAATAGTTTACACGACAAATACCAGTCTCCTAAACAATTTGAAAATATTTCACGTGAAAATACGTAACCCCAAATAAATGTTGATTGGGTCTTCGCGACAGGATACCGACAGCGTTGGACCAGGAAACCAGCCCTTGGGTGGGTTAATTAAAGATACTTTTATAGAAAGAAAGGGTGAAAGGTGCACGTATAAATCAGCCCAACCACCCTTAAGGAACACCTTTTCCCCGAACGGATTCATTTGCAAAACTCAGCGATGGCCAGGTTCCTTATAAAGCCAGTGTTCTTACGAAGGGTCTGTGTTCGTGTCAATGCTACATTGGACGGAATGCTCTGATCTACCAGCCGATGATATCTTCAAGTCTAAGTAAAGCAGAATCCATCAAATAAACATAATTGTTGGTAAATTAAAAAAAATCACATTTGAAACGTTTTGACATTTAGTTTTACAATAGGTTTCAAACTTCCTTTATGTAACAACTAAGCACGAAGACATCGTTG